TTCCGCTGATATTGAGGCAACACTTCGTCATTTCACGACCTACTGTCGTAAAGCAACAGAGAATCGGGTTCCAGAAAAGGTGGCGTTTGGGCGAAAAATTTGCATAGATAGATCCCCTTGCTAATTTTGTTTCTGTTTCCATCTAGTAAGGTAGGAACAAAAGAAGAACATCGATAATGTCTTAAAAGTGTACAGGATTTTACGGTTGAGACTGAGTGTATGAGTACTATGTATGTCACCCTTTCTGTAAAGTCAGTGGGACATCCTCGGGACTCCTTAACAGGAAACGCGCGCCGATCCTTTTGTAGTTCATAAGCGTGATGATTGGGTGTTCACGCCGTTGTGTGACATGTGCCACCCTTAAACCTTGTTACGACCCTGGCACATTACCCGTCTGACGTGAACTTTGGAGGATCCTTTAACTCTTCCAGTGATGCGAAAAGTTAGTGTCCTTTATATCCATCGGTATTTTGCTTGCAGGTTGTCACGCTGATTTTTCCAGTTGGGATTCGAGCACTAGCTTTCTAGTTCTATACGAGATGTTAGTAGCCGGGAGCCGGCGATTTTAAATGGCTACCCGTGGGTTGCGAGGAGTCAGTTGCCAGTGTCCAGCGAGAATGGACTTCTGAAGTCTGACCACCCCCACCCCGACGCGGGGGGCCTTCCGGCAAAATGGGTGGTTCGGGCGGCGCGGTGGCGCCGGGGGCCGGTTCTCGAGTGTGAGCCCCCTGCGCTGCGGTGTGGCCCCGCGCAGTACTGGGCTCTGGGCGGCAGGCGGCGCCTCTCGAGTGTGAGCGCCCTGTGCTGCGGTGTGGCCGCGCGCAGTACTGGGTCTGGGCGGCAGGCGGCGCCGGGAGCGAGCCAGCGGGCTCGACAATCTGCAGGTTCGAGCAGGGGGCCCACAGCCACCTAGCGGTCATTGGTTCGGTTTAGACAGGCGGGGCGGGTTGGACAACCATGGCCCAGTGTGAGAACGTGTCCTGTCTCGCCGTGTCATGTTGCGTCGGCACTGCTTGTCCCCTAGCTGCGGGTTCCCAGAGGGTAGAATTGTGCCCAGGTGACCTGGGCTCCCCAGCGGCGGTTAACGGTGCGTGGCTGTCCTCGGGAGTTTGTTCGTGACTTCCGGTAGTTTCCCCCGCATCGTAGGAGCCCGGGAAGCAGACTTGATTAGTGCCAAGGCGGGAGCGGCAGCGCGGAGAAATGGGCGTCGCACACCGGAAGGGGTCGGAGAGCAGGCTTGGCTGCTTCTCGGAGGGGGAGCCTCGGCTAGCAGCCCCGCGCCTCCGCCACGCACCCAGAAGGTCGCCGCCTGCCTTTGGGATTCCTGCTCCCTCACCCCCACCCCAGAGAATCCAGAGAAAACCCTGTGGGGTTTTCCGATCGTGGGGTGTATGTTTGCAGCGACGGAGGGAGGGAGGTTCTCCTCCCCTGGGAGTGGTTCGGATCCGGAGAGACTTAGAGGACTTTGGTCCCACCTGGGAGAGGGCACTACCTGCGGGTGTCCTATCTGCGATGTCTTCGTTGCTCCCTTCCTTGTTCGCTCGCTGTGTGACCTTGGAGAAAAAGTCCAGTAACCTCTCTGTGCCTTAATTTCTTTAACGGTAAAATGTGAGAAATGATAGCCCCTATTTGTTAGAATTGTTATGAAAAATAAAGAAGTTATATATATGTGTCATATAGGGTTAGGGTTAGGGTTAGAGCAAGCTCTGGGGAGTGTTACATTCTCTACAGGCAGTAGCTTTTAATTGTTAAACCACAGCTTATGTATTAATTTACGTTTCCTCTTTTGAGGGAATTTTGTGGTTAGGAACCTTCCTCTTTGCGTCTTTCATTTGGCCTTGCCTTCTCCGACCAATTGGTGGCTCTCATGATTTTCTAAGTAATTTCAAACATTGACAAAAACTAGTTCATCCCAAGGGGATTCTCCCATATTAAGGCCCGTGTGGGAACAAGAGTGCCAGTCAATAGACTGTTACTGTGTCCCTCCTGTGTGTCAGCCTCTTTTCCCTGTTCTACCCACTGCTTGTGCTAAGTGGATCCAAGATCTCCCTCCCTTGTGAGCAAAGTACCTGTATTGCAGAGACCTCCCCCTCTTCACTCTGAGTTTCCTGAGGCCAGAGACCATGTCTTTATCCCCAGTGCCTGGCACAATTTAGCCATGCGGTAAACGTTTGTTGAGCTCACGTGTCTATCCACAGAAGACTGGCTGAATAAACCACGGTATATCTACACAATGCAGTTCTGTGAAGCTTTACAAAAGAATGAAGACCATCTCTGTGGAAGGCCACCAAACTCCAGGATACCTTAAGTGAAAAAAGCAAGACTGGGACCCTGTACACGCTGCCTTCCTTCGAAGAAAGATGTGTGCTTTGCTTACATTTTAAAGAAGAAGCAATGGAAATATAAATCACCAACTAATAAAAATGGTTGCATATAAGAAGAACAGGATGTAAGAGATGGAAATAAGGGCTAGACTTATTTTCATATATTGTGTTTTATACTTTGACTTTGGAATCATGTAAATGGTTTACATGCTACATTTTTAAAAGAAAATAGCAAAGCATTTTGCAAAAGGACAAAAAAAGCCATTAATCAAAATATATCAGGAGTTACTGACATAACTGCATGGAAATATAAGAAACTGACTTTAAAACTCATTATTTTGACTACATAATCTTAGTGTGACACATCTTAAGGATAAAAAAAAATGGGCAAGAAATCAAGCTGCGTTTAATAACACTTTGTTAGTAATAATACTGGTATTGTTATTTACATGCTATTGCGTGTATTTGTGTTATATATATATGTATAAATAAAATAGTAAATAATTGAATTGATGTTGTTGGAAATCAAGGTCTTCAGTGAGAGATGAAAAGATATAGGTATCAAAATCAATGATGTTAGGGATAAGTTGTAGAATGGAAAATTTAAATTGGCAATGGTAGTATGAATTCATGATTAAATTTTCTCTTTCTACAAAATGCCTGTATGCAGGCTGTGTCCACTGAAAAGGCCAAGAAGCAATGGCAATCTCTTGGCTATGAGCAGCCCTAGTGTCCAAATGGATCATCTAAATGCCATTGCCCCCTGAAGAGGAACAGAGACCCCTTTAGGAAATGACTGATTTCAGAACCAGGGCAGGGATTGTGTAAGATGAGCCTGTCACATTTTGTTAGGCCAGAAAGCAAGGTAGCTATTAAATACTACTGAGGTTTTGTCAAAAGAACCCAAGAGCAAATAGAAAGGGGCACCCTTTGGCTAAAGATGGAATAGTTTGGGCTCAAGAAAGAATAATGACTGATTTGATCTTAACATATCTATAGACATCCATGAATACGTAGTAATATTTTTTTAAATCCCTCATTGCTTAGCTTTGTATCACCTAAGGAACTAACTCTTTATTTGGAAAACTGGTAAATAAGAGGAAAAAATCAAGTCTCTATTCTGCTGTTATTTCGGGGTACCCAAATAGTCTGAAAAGATAATAAATGCAACAGAAAGGTTAGAATTAGAGATTCACTCTTCACAACTCCTAATGAAGCACGGGGACAAGGCAACAATGGCTTAACAGCATGGCTATTAAAAGTATGAGGTGGAGGCCGCCTGGCTGGCTCTGTGGGTGCAACATGTGGCTCCTGATCTCAGGGTTGTGAGTTCAAGCCCCATGCTGGGCATGGAGATTACTTACAAATAAAAAATTAAAAAAGTATGAGGCGGAATGTAAGTGGGAAACAAAATGGCTGGATGGAGCTAAAAAACCTGAACCCACTGATTTATCTTAACAGCATCACGAAGAGTGAGACACACAGATACCATGTGCAATAGGAAGTACACAGCATCTATGAAATACTCTTGCACAAAAATTGAACCTTCATCTAATCAAACTCCTGGATCTAACTACCAGATAAATGGCAAGAAATACGGCAGACAGATGAAAAGAGACTACGATGGTATCATCAGCCAAACAAGGATATGGGAAGTTCCACAACTTAACGAAGTCTCTTCAAGAAATAACTCGCATGGAAGAAATGGGGTGGAGGGAGAACTGATAGAAATTAAGAGCTTTTAAAGACATCTCAACCAACTGCAGTGTCAGATCCTGTTTTCTATAAATTGGGAAAATACCTAAAATTATAAAACCTTACCCTAAAAATTATAATCCTACCAAGCTTCCAGTGAGCCAAAAGACAGCCTTCATTTTTGAATATGAAATATTATATATAACATGAAATATATATAATATGAAATATTATATGTAACATGAAATTTATATAATATGAAATATATAATATGAAATTTTTTTAAATGCAACATACAAACTTTAGCAAAAATAACAGGCAAAATCAAACAGGCACTTATAGTAAGAGGAAAACTGACTAGAAGCAATTTATCTTGAATACCTTATAGTAACCTACTTGCAGTTGCATTTAACTGAGCTCTGTTGCTGTGAAGAATACAGCTGATCCACAGGTATGGAAGAACGATTTGCACATCTTTCAAAT